TAATAATAATAATAATAATAATAACAGTAACACACCATTCTGTAATGTCTCTGTTCTTTCCCAGAAGGCTGGCCTGTTATAAAGTCCTTTTTTAAAAATGACAATCAGTCACATTAAAGATATGGGACTTCTGAAAAAAATTATCATTGTTTCATTAGCAGCTTTTGAATAACAATGCTTGTCACTTTCCAAATTCTTAGAAAATATTTCAACAATACAAGACAAGCACGTCATATGTTCAGACACATCAAACACCTTCTGGAATTCTTTATGGACAGAGCTTTGTTTATAACATTTATTAACCCTTTTGAAGCATCACATTAAAGACCCCAAACCTACCCTAAAGACAGAACTAATCAGTCTTCACTGCATGTTAACCTATGGTCTAAATTCAAAGAAAGTAATTTGCTTAACATTTATAAGTGTCTTCTTACAGACAAATTTTTTAATCTGTGGCAGAAAGCAATTGTTTGTGTACATTTGTTTGTAAACACATTTGCAAACAAGCTTTTCACTGATAAAACCAAATTAAAGTAGATAACTATATGGCTGACAGATAAAAATCAACAACATTCCCTCAATAGGATTTGAGGTTTTCACATCAGTGAGTCTGAAGATTGCTGTCTTCTGGGTTGTTGCGCCGTGTAGTCTGGTAAATTTCGGAGTTCATACTGCTTCCGTCATCAGGGCGATGACGGAGGCAGTATGACCTCTGAAATGTTGGTGGAAATCTACCAGACTACACGGCGCAACAGCCCAGAAGACAGCAATCTTCATCATTCCCTCAACTGACTACAATAAGCATCACGCCCAACTTAACATGCTTGGCATTAACAAGTGTGGGCGCAACTGTCATATTACGAAGTTGTTGTGTTGCAATTATTTGTAAACACATTCTCTAATTTATATGTATTTTATTTATATCCATAAATTTTATTTTATAATATAATATTTATAGAATAATTATTTCAAAATTTTCTTTCAGATTTCTCTACAAAAGTAACCCCAACACTTCTGCTAACAATAAGAAATTTACTCAGTGTCAAATTTACATTCGCGCCCATAGACAAGGTTAATTTTATAAAGATGGTTTATCTTCTGGGTTTTGGTGCTATGCAGTCTGAGAACTTTGGCAGTGTTTCAGACAGACCTCTGAAATGTTGGCAGACTTCTACCAGACTACATAGTGCTACAATCCAGGAGACATCCATACTCATCACCGTAAGAACCTCAGATCCTACTTAAGGGTAGTTTTATAATTTGTAACTTGAGTAAAAAACTTATGCATCAGTAGCTTAGGGTGTAAGGTCAAATTCAGACTGGGCTTAGGACAAATCATTGGAAGAAACACTGCCTATGCACTGCCTAATCACTGTCATCATTCTCATCCCTTGTGCAAGTTCTTGAAATCTCTTGGGTAGGATGCCTATTTGGTACACCCTGTTCAAAGAACAACTGAAAAAAAGAAATCATGAAAAATGTAATTAAAATGTTAAAAAGAAAATAAATGTTTCTATTCATAAATAATTTTCTCTGGTATTAAGAGGTTAGAAATTTTTATATACAACACACATATTTAACGAACAGAATGGTTCTTAGTATATATACACATATAAGCCCCCTTATTTCAGATGCTATTCTCTCAACACAATTTCTGACAATCGAATGAAACAGTGTCACGAAAAAAGGAAATTTGTGGTTAAAATCATATGTCATGTTTATTTTATAATCAGAGCTATTAGGAACATGTATGATCATTGAGTGTAAAGTTGCAAAGAAAATATGTGGACACTGTCTGTTCAGATGTCCTGCACATTTACAATGAAATTCTGTACACAAATTTCTTTCTGTTACAGTTTCATCAATGACATTTCCAATGTTCTTTGTCTAAGAACTTTATAAACATCTAAAACAATAAAATATTTCAAAGACTTATCATTTACCCAGCACAATATATTGTATTTTTTAAAATAATTATTGTACATTGGGTCCATAAACAGATTCAGACTTCAGGCACAAAGACTAGTTGACAGGCTGGGCTTGGTAGGTCAGGAGACACAATCAAAGTCTGAGATTAATTCCTCTCTTCAAACATTTGGAAACAATAACAGAGCCACTCACAGAGAGAAATACTCATACAGAGGCACATAAAATTTCCATTAAAGTTGCTTTGATTCAACTCTCCACTTCCAGTGTGTTTGGTGCCTTTGGAGTTTCTGAAATATGTTCTTACTAACCTCATAACTGTCCTTGACAAAATTTTGGCCAGCAAAAAAGTAATCATTCCAGTGCACACAAAGTTTTAGGAATAAGGAAAATGTTTTTCTTTAATAGTAGTACCATAAATATTTTTAGGCTGGGTAGTACAGCTGCTTCTTTTTGTTTTATCACTTACCACAACATGACCTCATGT